CGCATCAATTTCGCTTGTGTCCTTTTAAATAACATATTGTGAGTAATTCTCCCAATAATGTTATAAATACTGATCAGTGTCATGATGAAGAGATTCTTAAACACTGATTAATGTTATAAGTACACTAAACACCGTATAAAGTACACTTAAATCCCACACGAACGGGAAGCCAAACTCTAAGTACAAATGATGTGAATATTTTCGAGTCAGAGATCACTGAAGTGGTCCTCGAGTCCAATCCTGGATTGGAATCCACACTCGAATGACAGACGATGGCTTCCAATCCTGGATTCGAGCGTATTCAACAAAGTTCTTTTGCTTCGTTTAACCTGATGCAACCAGTAGTAGATTGGGTACCTGGATATTTATAGAATGGCTGATCAGCTAGCTGTCGGGGGAAGGGAGAGAGAAAAAAAAATGCAGCATATCTGAGTTAGGTTTTAAAATTTACTCAAGTGGGAAACGGGTATTAGCCTACATAAATACAGGAAGAGAATATCAGAACGCCGTTTGCAACTCCATGCCCAGTTGTATTTTCTGTTCGGAGGGCCTGGTTCCTACGCATTTTAGGTATCCATATGCTTTTGCATGACTAAACGAACACTATGTGTTGTAAAGAGTGTCCTAAGTGCATGACAGTACAATGTAAACATCGACCATGCTGATGTCACGAGCGTAAAAAACACGGTTAACAGAGTAGAACGTTGCAAACAAGACGTAATCGCGCGCCGGAGTGTAAATCGTGCCTTAGTGTCAGAGGATTGTAAACAGCGGCTAAGCGAGTGCCTGGACTCTGTAAACAGAGAGGAAGCCAGTGCAACAAAGGAGGGATAGGCAGGCAGAGACAGAGAATGCAAAGGTAGTGCAGGAAGCGTCTGAGATCAGAATATTCAAGTGACGTTGGCGGAGGTTAAGTGAAATTTAAGCGAGTGTCCGGCGCATGTCAACACGGCCGGGTGTGCGCAGGGGGCCAGAGGTAAACACCCGGAGGCCCCGCGGGATAAGCTGAAGATCATGGCATCATCGCTCTCTTCATGAGGGCGCACGAAGAACGTAGGAGGGACACGCACACGCGCGCGCACACACACACACACACACACACACACACACACACACACACACACACACACAGGTGAGGATTAACAAGAGAGCAGCAGATGTAGAACAGCAATATTGCTTACTCTTAACCATTCCACACCTTTCTTCACCCCCCCCCCACCTCGTCCTCCGTCCCAGAAAATACCTTGCACTCTTCTAAACTTTCGTTACCTCATACTCCTATTCCGGTCATTCGCTCCTATCCCATCACTTCAATTGGCTTCTCTCCGTATCACTGATATTATCTTCTCCTATCCCTGTCAACTGCATCAGCTACTGTCCCTGTCGCTTTTCCTTGTCACTTGCTCATCTGACCACTGTTTCTGTCCTCCTTCCTTTCGTATGTATTCGTTTCTAGATCCTCCTCCACATTTACAATTCTCGTATATTTTACCTTTTACCCTTACTCTCCCTTATTCCCCCTTTCCCCTAACGCCCCTTTCCCTAATTCCCCCTTCCATTAATTCCCCCTTCCCCTTCTGTTCCTCCTATTAAACATCAAGGAGAGTGGTCACAAGACCTACCAAATCTGGGGTGCAAACAAAAGGTGGCAATTGTTGATGAAGTGCAGAGATTATTTTGATTCTCTGCCTTTCTTAAACAATAGCCATAAGCTGCTTCATCGACCGCACCCGGTTTTGTTTGTATCCAGATATGTTTGTTTGTTTGATTAGCGGTCATTGATTCGGGCAGGATACTGCGGTTGGGAAGGAGGGAGGGGGTAATAGGCCTTTAGGTTTGTGCCGGGAGGTCTTTCTTCCGTAGGTCTATAAAGGCCAGAGGCAGAAAGGGAATAGGTTTGTATGGAAGGGTGAAGGGGTGAGGGATGGTTTGACAGGCCCTGACACGAGTCTCAGGTTACACTACTTAACGTGTGACGCCTTCCTAATGTGTGGCCAGAAAGTTTGTGTTTTCTGTGTCTTAGTTTCATGCAGTCTCTCGCTCTCCTCCCCCTCCTTCCATGCCTCTTTTGATTTTCCCTCCATTTCCTCCTTTCGTCCCCCTTTCTTCCAGTCTGTTTCGTAGTCTTCCCTCTTCTTAAGTGTCTTTAGGTAGAGCAAGTTTTTAAACTGTGCTTGTCACTCCCACAGTCACAAGCTGCACTGAGGTTGTCTGGACACCGAGGAACATTGTCCGTGGTGCTGGTCGACAAAACCTCCTTCCCGCCTGGTTCACCTTCATAATCATGGGAAACTAATTTGAGAGGGTGACAAGAGCGCCGCAGGGTGGGCAGCTTGGCCCTCTAATTATACCTCAAATAGGCCTTACATACGCCAGTCAAAGCGGGCGTCTGAATGAGACCGCTCTTTGTCTTAGATGCCATTGGAGCGTTTACCCGTTTGAAGCTTCTATCTGGACCTCGCGCCATCATTGACTCAGTGGAGACCAGACGTGATGGACCAAGCCTCTTCCTCTCCTC